TTAGTGCGTATGGGGCTAGCTCATGTGGTCTTGAATTCCGTTCTCAGCACCACAAATATAAAAGGGCTAACCAAAGCCCCTTTGCCCCTCCTCGTCTACATGTATGTTTTGAAAACTGGAATAGTAAATATCCTCCCCTAAGATTGATGACTCATTAGAAAAAGCTCACAAAGGCTCTGGGGTACAGTTCATGGACAGTGTTTATTATCTAGCATGCATTTGGTTCTATGTCCCATCTTAAACCCCAGGAGCAAACATTTCCGTTTTGCCAGGGGAGCACACCGCCCTCCTGCTTCCTGTACGTGTGAGCACTAAGCTTCTTGGCCTTGCCTCACAATGAGCATGGGGCCTTGGTCTCAAAATCTTTTAACTTCAAGGTTGGAGAGATGGCTCAGCAGTTAAGAACACTGACTGCTCTTCCAGAGGCCCTGAGTTCAATTCCCAGCAACCACCTGGTGGCTCACAACCATCTCTAATGAGATCTGGTGCCCTCTTCTGGCGGGCAGGCATGCAGGCAGGCAGACACTGTATACATAATAAATAAATAAATCTTAAAAAATTCTTTTAACTTCATATTGATTACCACTTGCACATGAAATCTGGGTCTGGGTTAGGGTTCAGGCTAGTCTACTGTTTGGGCGGGGGTTAGAGAGAGGGTTATGATTTAGGTTAACGTGGTAAGGGTTAGAACTGTGGTAAGGGTTAGGATAGGATAGGTTAGGTGAGGAGAAGGTTCAGTACTCGGAATAGGTTTAGTGTTAGGGCCTCAGCAGTGTCAGGGTCAGGGTGAGGACCAGGGCCAGGGTGAGGAATTAAGTTAGGGCTAGTTTAGCAACAAGCTAGTTCTAGGTTTAGGGTTAGAGTTAGGAGGAGGCTTGGGATTAGTTTAGTAGGTGTTCGTGCTAGTATTAGTATTATGGTTAGAAATGGAGTTAGGTTTAAGGAGTTAAAGTTAGCATTATGATTATGGTTGGATCTGGGGAAACAGATTTAGGGTTAGAGTTCGGTATCTGTTTGGTTTATGTTTTCATTAGAGCTAAGGTATTGTCATGGATAGGGATATAATAAGGTTTAGCTTTAGATTTAGGGTTAGGGATTGCTTTTTAGTTAGCTTTAGGGTTTGGAGTAGTCTAGTATTAGTGTTAGAGCTAGGTTAGTGTTAAAGCTAGTGTTGGTTAGTGTACATGAGTGTCTGGACATGTATGAACTCGTGTGACTGAGTCAGTGTGTTTGTGTGTGTCACATTCAGGTATTACTTTGTATTAATGTGTATTTGTAGATTTGCTTGTGTGTGTGTGCAAAAGTGTGAGTATGAAAGTGCATGTGAATGTACAAGAGTGCACAACTGTGTGTAAAATTATATGATTGTGTAAGGAATTGTGAGGTCGCATGAGCCTGTTATTGAGATTGTGTGTGGATGAGTCAATGCCAATGTGTGTGTGTTTCTCTGTGTGTGTGTATGAGTATGAAAATATTCAAGAGTATGTTTGGGTGAGTGTGCAAAAGCGTGTAATGGGAGGAAGAGTGTATGAATGTGAATCTGTGTGAATAGGAGTCCAAGTTTTTGACTCTGAGTGTTAGCACATGTGAATGCGTAGCTGTTTGTGCAAGGTATTCAAAAGTGTGTGAAGGTGTGAGATCATGACAACATGTGTGTATAATTGTATGAATTAACGTGACTGTTTCAGCATGGGTAAGTATGATCATGTAGATATCTGAGTTAGTAAGTGTGAATATAGTTGTATTTTTGAGAGTGCTGTGAGCTTGTGGCTCTGTGTGTCATCATGTGTGAGCGTTATCATGTCTGTGTTATCATGTGAGAGTGTATAAGATTGTGAGTGAGCATGAGTGTGTATGGGCATTAATGTGCATTGAGTATGTAATAGTGTGTGGTATCAGAGTGTTTTGTATGGGCCTGTGATTTTGTGAATGTGTGATTGAATATGGATATGTGAATGGATCCAAGTGCATGAGTGTGTTTAGGTGCTTGGAACTGCAATACTGTACAAAAGTGAGTGTGCTTGTGTGTGTTGGTATTGGATTGTGATTGTAAATATGTGAATGAATATGTGAGAGAATGTGTGCAAAAGTTTGTGTTGCTATGTGTGTGCAACTGTGTGAGGATGTGGATGTATATGAGTATTTAAGCATCAAGAGTGTGTTGGTATATGTTAGTGCATGATTTTGTGTGTTTCTATGAGTGTGCAAGTGTGAACTGAGTACTTATGTATGTGATGAGAGAATATGAATGACTGTGTAGAGGTGTGTGAAAATGGAAAGGTGTGTGATCAAATATGGTGCACGTGAGCGTGAGTGTATGTAGTAACATACAATATTTAACTATTGTTAAAGGCAAAAGAATACCAGCTTCCTAGGCCTACACCTGCTATAGAGCTGGCTGCTTCCAAGGCTGAGGATTCCTGTCACCTTGGTCTGCTGGAGGCTGCAGCATCAGCCACAGTTGAGGGTTGAGGGATCCCAACTTCCTAGGCCACACAAGAGCTGTGACATCTGTAAGGCTAAGGTCCTGCTACCTGAAGGGCACGGACTGGAGGGCTCCACCGGTTGTGCTGCCGACCACACCCTTATTATCACTGGTACAGCTGCCCCAAACGGAGAGGATGGAACCTTAACAGGCTTGAGGGCTTCTCCTTCCCGGCCCGTGATTTCTAATCGGGCAGGACAAAGGACCCTTCCAGCTAACTGGTAACAAACACCTCGACCCTCCTTGTAGTCGCACACAGCCTGCGAGGCTCCACTTACGGCCCCTCTGATCCTTAGAGCAGCTGGCACATCGACAGAAACCAATTTTGCTCTTTCCATTCTCCGGAGGAGGAACCTCCAATTCCAAAGGTGCCATTTGCCTGAGCACTCTGCCGGAAACTGCAACTCCACAGCTTCCCTCCCACTGACAAAGCCGATCCGATCTGGGGGCCTGTCTGCCTTCCCCTCATGCTTTCTGTGGCCTCTTTGAATCCTCTACAATATCTCTTTGATGACTGCACCCACATGGTTAAACTCTGCTTGGCCTGGGTGGGAAAGTCTCAGTGGTGCAGGCTTCCTGCTTGGAACATCATTTCTCCTGGGCTCTTCACTCCACTCTGGCCCACCTGCACGCCTGAGATGTTAGTGAGATCCCAGAATGCCTCAGAGGCTCAGGTCCCAGTCAGAACTCAATGTATTTACTTTTTAAAAAAAATGTGTGTGTGTGTGTGTGTGTGTGTGTGTGTGAAGGTGCCCATGAGGCTAGAAGAGGGGGTTGGATTCCCTGGAGTCACAATTACAGGCAGTTGTGAGCCACCCAGGATGGGAACTAAGAACCAAATTCTGGTCCTCTGCAAGAACTCTCCACTGCTGAGCGATCGCTCATTCCCTTCAATGTATTTACTATACACATGCATTTCCCATAGTCTAAAAATCACAGTAAGTTGAAGGTACTGTCGGGAGTAGCAATCTGATGTTCTCTACCAAAGTTTAAATGTGCATAGATCTTGATTCCAGAACCTGGTCTTAACTAATTTCTTACATGTGAATGCAGACATGAGGATCCCAGGTTATGTGGTCTAATTTATTTATAGGAGTGAACAAATGGGAAAGTCAAATGTCCTCAAATGAGGCGTAGATAAACTGGCATAATCATAAGCAGAATACTGTAGAGCAGTGGTTCTCAGCCTGTGGGCTGTGACCTATTTGGGTCAAATGACCCTTTCAGAGGGGTCACCTAAGTAAGACCATCCTGCCTATCAGATATTTACATTACAATTCATAACAGTAGCAAAATTACAGTTATGAAGCAGCAATGAAAATAATTTTATAGTTGAGGGGTCACCACTACATGAGGAACTGTATAAAATTACGAAGGTTGAGAACCACTGCTGCAGAGTAATTGATGAGCCAAAGGCAGGACTCTATCACTTGATATGCCCATGTCATTAGGTCATTGCTTTCATTGGTACAGATTTGAATATTTACTATCCCCCAAATACTGTTCTAGGCTACAGGGAGGGAGAAAAGTTAAATGCCCAGAGCCCTGAAAAACATCCAAGTGAGCACGTGGACAAGCACACTTATGCAGGTAAGTTCTTCAGACTGCACACAGAGGGGACACCCAGGGACAGCAGAAGCCCAGTATAGAAAAGCACCAGGACCCAGAGGTGGGATATCCCAAAGACCTAGGATAGAACCACACAGGACTGGCACACACACAAAGTCAATGGAATGATTCCTAACGATATTCTGCTCTGCTCATAGATTATTGCCTAGCCCAATTATCATCAGAGAGGCTTTGCCCAAAATGGATGGAGGCAGATGCAGAGACCCACTGCCAAACAGGAGGAGCTCGGGAACCCTGCAGTAGAGGGGGAGGAAGGATTGTAGGAGCCAGAATGCAACTTGATATGCCATTTTTGGGTTGATATCCATGGGAAGCTTGCCCTTTTCTGAATAGGATCGGAAGAAGAGGGGATGGGGGTAGGGCAGAGGGGAAGTGGGGGGGGGGAGGGACTGGGAGGAGAGGAGGGAGGGGAAACTGCAGTCGAGATGTAAAAAAACAACTTTTTTTTTTAAATTTAAAAAAAGGCTTCTTGTATTCAAGAAAGAGTACAGAAGGACAGTGTGGCCAGAGTGGAGGAGGAATGGGCTGAGCTGGGTGAAACAGATCCTATGGTGCTTTATGGTCCAGATGGCATGCACACTTCAACCGTCTATGCAGTAAGGCACTGTCCTTTAGAGTAGACTTCACTACCCACTGCCTGGGGCCTCCCATATAGGTTAGGCAAACTGGCTTACGTAAGGAGACACCAGCCCTGGCACCTTCAATAACACAGGACCTTTATTTTAGATGTTGCTCTGGGGAGGACAAATGAACAGGTGGGTGAGAAGTGGAATTTGGGCACAGCGACAACCTGAACAAACCCGGGAGAATGAAATTCTGAGGTGAGCCAGCAGAGGGTGCTATTGGACCTTGGACCAAGCCTGGGCTGACGTAGAAAGCAACCCGACTCAGATGTTTGTCTTCTGAAATTGGCAAATAGATGAGGGAAACTGAGAAATGGACAGGAATGGTGGAAATGAAAATTTTTTTCCCACATGTCCTGATACTGGTGGACCTGCTGGTATGTCTATCTAGCATCAGAGTGTCTCAGGGGGAGGGGGAGGAGGCTGACAGGGAAAGCAGCCTGAGGTCTCAGTGAGAGAGAGCAAGGCGTGGCTACAGTCAGTGCTGAGAGGCGAGGGTGAGAATCTTCAGGGAGGCCTGCGTGCTTAGAAATGGGGGAAGAGTCTACAGCTGTACCTCCCGGAATTTTGTCTGACCTTAGAAAATAAGCAGGGTCAGGCCTTTGATGGAAGAAATTGGGAAGAGGAAGTCATACAAATACAGAAGAGAAGAGCCAGTGAGAAGGACCCACTCCACATAGAAAAGGGCTGAATGGGTGAAGATGGTGTAAGGTGAGCACAGGTCCAGGAAGGGAAATCATGGAGCCCTCAACCTGGACGAGACTGAGATCAGTATCCTTGAGGGGCAGATATATTGACAGTTTCAGGGTCAGGGGAGGATCAGCCCATGAAGATAAATGTTGGATGTTGTGGAATATTATTTTAACTGGGCAAAGATGTGTTACATTTGTTTATGCTGTGGAATACTACTTAAACTGTGTAAAGGTGTGTTGCCTTTGTTTATGCTGCATTTGTTTATCAATGTAGGGATGCGTGTTTAACTATGTAAAGATGTGTTGCATTTGTTTCACCTTGCCTGCCTAAGGCACCTGATTGGTCTAATAAAGAGCCGAATGGCCAATAACTAGGCAAAAGAGGGATAGGCATGGCTGGCAGGCAGAGAATAATTAGGAGGAAGAATCTAGGCTCAAGAGAAGAGGGGAGAAGGAGGAGAGAAGGAGGGAGAAAGAAAGAGAGATGTCTAGGGCCAGCCAGGCAGCCTCCAGCCAGCCAGACACAAGAAGCAGTGAAAGTAAGATATACAGAGGTAAGAAAGGTAAGAAGCCCTGAGGCAAAAGGTAGATAAAGAGAAACAGGTTAATTTAAGTTAAAAGAGCTAGCCAGAAACGAGCCTAAGCTAGGCCAAGCATTCAAAACTAATAAGTCTGCATGTCATGATCTGGGAGGTGGTTGGTGGCTCCCCAGAAAAAACCTAGTGCAGTTGGGATCATTTTTTTCATTCAGGAAGCAGAGAAGTAAGGCTGAGATGTAGTATGCCAAGAGTCTGAGCTTCGAGACGATGAACCTCACTGCATGTTGGCATTCAGGAGGGACCAGAGCCACAGAGAGATGACATCTGGGTTGAACATGGGGTGCTGAGGGGCTGCTGGAGGGTCTAGGAAATGGTGGGGAAGTCCACATGGTGGGAAAGGGTAGACAGGAAAGATTAGTAGTGTTCAAACAAACAAACAAACAAACAAACAAAAAAGGAAATCCTGTGATTCTCATTAATGTCCTAAGGAAGATTATTGCTGTTTGGTTGTTACCATAGGCATGGGTGTCCACTGTGAGGGAGGAGAGAGAGAGGGCTCATCACTGACGTAGCACAGCCAAGAGCAAATGGATGACCAAGGGGCAGGTTGGGGTACTGGATAAAAAGTAAATAAGAGAAGCTATTGGGGTGGATGGAAGGGTTTAATTGACAAACACCATCTTTACTGAAGGTTGTCCAGAGTTATCAAACAGCACCCAAGGAAGGCTAGAGGCTGAGGAATAGATCCAGGTGAAGTCTAAATTTGATGAGGAAATGCACCGTTGGGCTTAAGACAGGAACATGACTCTATATGATCCAGCAAAGAATCTCTGTCAGTAGTTCCCTTCAAAGAGAAGAGGGAATGTGGTGCTCTCAGCATGGAGTGAGCAGTGGTACCTGAGGTAGGTGTCTCTGCACACACTGTCTTGACTTCTCTACCATCCTGGTGGAGCACACAGAAGTGGCCAGCTAGGCAGACCATGTTGGAGTTTGGCTAGGGAAACAAGACACAAAAATGCAGTAATGGTCCTGAATGCTGGGTTGGTTAGCAGGGAGTAGAAACCAGGGAAGTATAGAAAGAAACTGATCCATGATGAGTCCCTTGCTCATTGCCCTACACGAGGCCCCAGACCTGTAGCCAAGTTTCTGACTTAGGTGTCATTAGATAAGCTGAGGAGGTCCTTAATCAAGGGTAGACTTCTCTATGAGGAGACGTGAGTTAGGAATGGAGATATCCTAAAGGCCAAGAATGGGGACTGAGATAGAGTGGGGAATCCTCCAAAGAGTCAAGCTTCCCCACATTCTGAGAAGCTTCTCAGATGACAAAGCTTTAGAAATCATGTTAGTGAACAGCCTGTTTCTCTCTTTTACAGCCTGTGAAAGGCTCAAGTGTTTTCCAAGTCTCGTGTCCAGCAGTTCTGATCGTACGTGTAGATGTTCACAGAGACCTGCACCTGGAGGCAGGGAAAGGTCTCAATATCCTCCTGGGTACCGTGCTCACAGCACACGGCATGTTCTGTCCTCAGGTCCTAGGTCCTTTGTGGCTCTTGATCAGCTACAGGTCAATCTCTGTCCTGAGTAGGACACAGTAGAGTAGGAATTCCAACATCTGGGTCTAAGTTCCACGAGTTGAACCATGATGCCTTGTTTCCTGTCATCACAAATAACCACACACTCTTCCATCATGAACGCCCATCAACTTTACTCCCCACCCCCTGTGTCTGCACCATCAGTTATTCTACATTGACTTCTTAAGGAGGCTTCGCTTCCTCTTCTTCTGAACCATTGGGGATTATTTTTTTTCTAACAGAACTTCAATCCTATTCTGCCTTTATTGTCGTTGTTGTTAATTCTCTTTGCTGATATCTTAAATGACTATTTCTGTGACTTTTAATAGAAACTTAATTTAAATGGTGTTAAAGTTGCCTTTTAAAACTTAATCACCCACTTTACAGAGACTGTAAACATTTATCATTGCCCCAACCCACATCCCATCCTCAAGGTAATTTTGCTGGGTCATGTGGCCTCTTTCTAGATTCCTCCTGTGTGTTCTCTAAATGCCTCCTACATCTTTGTTTCCATTTTAGTAGAACCTGAAGCACTCCTTACCCTAGCCAGAGCTTTTGAAAAACTACTTCTCAATGGGTCTCAAGACCTCCATTCATCCCATTAAACCATTACTCTGGGGGCTTGGATGAGGATGATTATCTAGGGGTACCACTGAGTTCATTCCACAGGATAGACAAAGGATCGTGTGTCCGGGAAATAAGACTCGTGCAGGGAAAGTAAAAGCCGGAAGGAAACTGGAATGACAGGAAAGAGAAGAGGCCACAGGTGTTGACTGTGAAAGTGGCTGCCATCCACAAGTGAAAGTGACCGAGATCACGTGACCTGCAGATGCGGAGACTAGAGAAAGTGCCAGCCATGGGCAGAAGTGTGCGTGCGTGCCTGTGTGCATGTACATGTGTGTGCACGTGTGTGCACGTGTGTGTGTGTGTGTGTGTGTGTGTGTGTGTGTGTGTGTGTTGTGATAAACATGACAAAAGTCATTAGGATAGACAAACAGCTCCCATGAAGGGAATGGGAGGGGTCCCAGAGGTATAGTAAACCCAGGGCCCTGGATCAGCCTTTGTATAGGTTCCCTGGGACTTCTTTCTGGCCTCCCTTTGTCCCTCAATGGTCTCATCTGGTGGCCAATAGAAACTTGTACTGCTTGCAACCTGTAAAGGATACAATGTCCTGGGAGTGTATGTGTTTGAGGAAACAATCCTAAAAGCAAGGAGAAGCCCCTCTTCAAGGGGCACGTCTTTCTAGATCAGCCCATTTTCCCTTGACCATCCTTCATTCCCCCTCTCAGAGATCAACACTAACTGTGGTCAGGGACGGGGGCAATGACTGTTCTGGCTACTTACTGACGAGAGAGGGCAATGTTTTAGGGTGTTGACCAGAGAAAGGAGGACCCTTAAGGCTGGGTCCCTAGGGACAACCCAGAGAGCTATGATAGAGCTTAGTTGCCTGGGTAGATCTGGGGTGCAGGACAGCCATTTGATGACAGTATGTTAAGTTGTTGTGGTAACATCAGTGACATAAAGAGCAAAACCATAAGAATAACTATAACTCCTGTTGAGACAATGGTTGACTATCAGCTGGGGAAGATGTGCCCTTATTAGAGGAGAACAGGCAGTAAAACCATGGCAAAGCTCCTCCGCAGGCAGCAAGGCTGACGGTTTCTCTGCTGCCCTTGCTCCTGTAAGATATGCAGCGTGGAGAAGGCCACTGGTTTGATTCAAGACCTTAAGAAACCTCCCACCAGCCAGTTCAAGTTCAGAGGTCAGCCACCATGTGTCTTCTATCACCACCTCATGGGAAACATTAAGAGATGAGGTTAACGAAGAGAACTCTTCAAATGTCATAATTAGTATGTCTTGTTTAGTGAGATGAACGGCATCATGCAACAGACTGAACCATACACCAGAGCCCTGTAGTGTAGAGGGAATGTTTAAAAATTTCACACCAGAGATCAGTGAGTGTAAGCGTCTTTAGCCATTTTCTCTCAGCAGCAAATGCCACCTCCCATGTACCAGGTGTGCTCTTTGATAGTGGTGGGCACTGGAGGCCAAGTCTGAGCTAAGTCAGGGTTCCATCTCACCGGGGGAAGAGATGGATGCCATTCTCTAACTTACAATCTAAGAGGGAAATATAATTCCCTTGGGGTTTGTTTTATAGAATGGCCCAGAGATAGTCCATGGACACAAGTGTACCCTGTGAGTTTGATGACTGGGAACTTAATCTCCTCACTCAGCTGGGGAACCTGGGCAGTTAGAACATAGCATGTCATATTACATATTATGAGAGGCTATTTTCAATGGTAAAATAATGCCAAAAGATGCTGTCAGACCTTGCCCCCACATTCAGGACAACTCTGATCCCGTTTAAGATAGCTAACAGACCTTGTTGAGCCTGAGTTCAAGCTCTCTCCCAAGTGGTGGTAGAGTCATATTCTTGGAAAATCCATTCTGTGTTCCTTATTCATTTTTCTAACCCTGAATTTTATTTCACTAAAACATTTAAGCCCTTTCCCTCCTCCTAAAAAACAAAACAAAACAAACAAACAAATAAAACCACCAACCATAAATGTTCTACTCCAGACACAGAGGCCTTTTCTAATGAATCTCTCTCTCTTTTCTGAAGTGGTTCATTCTATTCTCCCTGCAATCCCTAGACCTGAACTGATCCTATTGTAAGGAGATACTACAGCTGTTGGGGACACTTGGTATGCCACTTCTCTGGGCCATGTCTGAGGTAGCCACCAGAAAAATGGTCTTCTAGAAGACAGTGGCCTGAGTTTAGTCAGGGTAAAAGTGATAGATCCACAATCTGGAAATATCCCACTGAAGTGTAAGGGTAGTAGGAATTGCTCCAAGGCAAGAAAAAGTCTGGGTGTGCCAAAAAAGACTCTCAGCTTACAAGGTGAGATCAGTCCTAGAAGGCTTATGGATCTCCTGGGTTTGACTCAATCTAGCCAAAAAGGTAAAGAAATTGTGAGAGGTGAGTTGGCCCACTGGGTTGCTCCAGGAATCATGACAGCTACCTTGAAGGCTGTAGGGCTGGATAGAATGACAGGATAATGTCCAGGGTAGACACAGAAGGAGATATCCTCAAGGGTTTTAATCAGGACCAGATCTCTAGTACAGAAGAGGAGAGGCCTCAGCAATCTTCACTCAGGGACTCTTTGTATGAAAAACCGAGAGGACTTGGAGTCTGGCCAGATGAATGACATGGCATGCTAGCTGGGTAGTCTTAGAGTCATTCAGCAGGTCTCTCAAAAGGAAAGGCATGCCATACAAAAACCTCCATGGCCATGGGGTACTCCTTAACTGCACCAAAACTATTCGCAGTAACTTTGTCTGGGGATTAGGGCTCCAACATCAGTTTAGTAAGACTTTGGAGTAGTTTCTTTTCTTTTTATTGTTATGTTTTTTTACATCCTGACCACAATTTCCCCTACTTCTTCTCCTCCCAGACCCTCCTCTCCATCTCTCCTCTGCTCCCTCCATCCACTCTTCCTCTGTGTCTCTTCAGAAAAGGCCAGGCCTCTCATGGATATCAACCAAACATGGCATATCAAGTTGCAGTAAGACTAGATACCTCCCCTCATATTAAGGTTGGAAGAGGCAACCCCATATGAAGAAAAGGGTCCCAAAAGGAGGTAAAGAGTCAGAGACAGCCCTTGCTCCCACTGTTAGGACCCCCTCAAGAAGACCAAGCTACACAACTGTAACATATATGCAGAGGGCCTAGGTCAGTCCCATGGAGGCTCCCTGGTTGTTGGTCAGTTTCTCTGAGCCCCTGTGAGCCCAGGTTAGTTGACTCTGTGGGTTTTCTTGTCATGCCCTTGACTCCTCTGGCTCTGAGGAGTCTATTTCTTGTCTCTCCCTTACAAGAAGACTGGGGATGTCAGGTTACGTGGGAGGTCAAATTATATTCCCAGGGCATGAGAGACTCCTTGAGTGACTTCTGCTTTGAAGGCTGGTCCATTGTACTCCGTATGCTTCTAGTTATTCTGAATCTGGGAGTGATTTGCCCTTTCTGTTTGTTAAGGAAAGGCTTCGGCCCTTAGGTAAATGTATCTACCTATACCAGTAGCAGATGGGTTTTAGGACGTCCCTGAAAATCGGTAAAATCTACCTTCCAATTTTCCTCTGGAAGTCTGGTGGAGGGAATGAGTTAGAGAAGGCTGGATTCTCTCAGAACTCAAGCTATTTTACCCATTCTAATATCATTTCCAACTATGGAAACCAAGACTTGTAGGGTTGGACCTTTTCCAGAGAGACCTTTTACTTTTCTGTTACTGTGATAAAACACCATGAGCGAGGCAATTCACAGAAGGAAGGGCTTATTTGGGCTTATGGTCCCTGAGGTTAAGAGTCCATCATGGGTTGGGGGATGGGCCCAGCTGCAGTGACAGGCATGGTGGCAGGAACAGGAAGTTCAGGTCACGTCTTCAAATGCAAGCTTGAAGCCCAGAGGGCAAACTGGAAGTAGGTGGGGCTTTTTACTCTCAAAGCCTGTCCCCAGTGATGCACTTCTTTAGCAAGGCCACACCACCTAAACCTCCCAGCCACACCACCAACTGGGGACCAAGTGTTCCAATACCCCAGACTATGGGGGACACTCTCATTCAAACTCCTCCTCCTTATGTCCCCTCACAGGGTTCTGTGTGTCCCTTTTAAATTGTTTATGTTTTCTCCCTGAGACCAGAGAGAGACTTAGAAGGGCTATTAGGCTTGCTTCTCTCTGTGTAGCCTTGGCTAGCCTGGAACTTACTATGTAGATCAGGCTGACCTCAAGCTCACAGAGATCTTCCTGACTCTGCCTCCCACATGTTAGGACTAAAGGTGTGCACCACTGTGCCCAGCTGCTTGCCTCCTCTTTACTCCATGGCTTTTGATAATTCGTTTCCAGCACTGACGTTCCAGATCTTTCTGCCTTTTGTTCTATAGTCTGTACAGCAGAGGCTGGTTCATCCTCGCCATGCCCTCGGTTTTGAATGAGTGCAAATGGCAAAAAGGAGGGTCAGAAACAACGAAAATCCTCAAATCTATCCTTGCAGCCTCCTCCACAAGTCAGAAAAGAAACCTCGCTTAAAACTACTCGAGTCTCTGGTTGAGAGACTGCTGTGTGGAAAGCCCTTCCTGTTTCCTCTGTGGATGAGCATCTCATTATCTGCTTTTACTATGAACATCTTTATGTCGTGGGATGAACAAGAGTAGCCTCTGTTGGAAGTAATCTACTCTTTAGCTGTCATTAAGGGCATATGACTTTATTCTTGTGCTGTTTTGTTGTCCTCCTCTTTTTTTGTGTGTGAGAATCAGAGGGTCAGCCTAACCCAACAGGGACTTTGAGGGACAAACATATTCGGTCTGAAGTGGGAGGACCATATTCCATTTCTAGAACCAGCTTCCCAATAGATTAAACAGCACATGACAATTCACCGTAGTGTCCATAGCCAAAAGACACTCGCTTCTCTAGACAACTGAGCTCAGTGGCTTACACTGCACAGGGAACTTGCTTTTGAGTTCAGAGCCAACTAGCGGGACACAAAGCAGCAGCCTCCCTTACAACCTGCTTAGAGTGGTTGCAGTGATTCTTATCTGCTGGCCATGATTGGGAATGGGGACTAACAAGAGTCAGAAAGCACTTTCCTCCCTTCTAGAGCGCTGTGAGACAGAATGCTAACCTTAACAGGCTACCTTCTGATCTCTCCAAACTTTCTAAGGTGATGACGGATGGCAGTCTGCACCTATGATCTAGCTGTATGAAGCAGACGGGTCAACGCTTTACCAGTGTCTAACCTGAGATCCTTCCTGCTTAGCATGGGATGAGGAACTGTTTAAAAACCTGTATCCACAATCGGTTTGTGTGTGTCTGCAAATTAAGGTAGGCAACCTGAGAAAACTTAGAAGTCTTCTCTCTTCTACAAAGAGATTGGGTTGTATGGGAGGTTTGTTCTCCTCATGCAGAGGGAGTATCCTACTACCTTAGGAAGGAGGTTAGGAGAATCTTGTTGGGCCCTATCTTAGTTTGGATTACTATTGCTATGATGAAACATCATGGCCAAAAGTAAGTTGGGGAGGAAAGGGTTTATTTGGTCTATGCTTTCATATTCATAGTCCATTATTGAAAGAAGTCAGGACAGGAACTCAAACAGAGCAGGAACCTGGAGGCAGGAGCTAATACAAGGCCATGGAGGGGTGCTAGTCACTGGCTTGCTCATCATGACTTGCTTCTCATGGCTTGCTTAGCCTGCTTTCTTATAGGCCCTTCTCCATCAATCACTAATTAAGAAATTGCCCGAAAGGCTTGCCTACAGCCCAATCTTATGGAGGCATTTTCTTAATTGAGGCTACTCTGATAACTCTAGCTTGTGTCAAGTTGTCATAAAACTAGTCATAAAAACAGGCCTACAATGGGCTCCCAAGATAGGGAAAACACAGTCCTAGAGGAGCTGAGATGGGATACAGAGACCCAGGAGCATCTAGAGTAAGAGAGAGATAATCAAAGGTAGAAATGGGGAATGTGATAGGGAAGGATCACTATTAAAAAAAAAAAAAGACTCACCTTTAATCCCAGCACTCGAGAGGCAGAGCCAGGTGGACCTCTGTGAGTTCGAGGCCAGCCTGGTCTATAGAGCGAGATCCAGGAAAGGCGCAAAGCTACACAGAGAAACCTTGTCTCAAAAAAAAAAAAAAAAAAAAAAAGACTCATCTTTTAGACAGCAGCTAGCACAACAGGATCTAACTGGCAATTCTAATTAAGGGTAATCCCAGAGGTAGAGTGCATGTAAGGCACCCTTTGCAGTTGAAGGGTGGTATTATAATTTAGACCCCTTGGAGGAGGGTTCGTTTCTCATTATCCCCCAGAGTGTATTGTAGCCAGGCTTCCTGGCATAAAAAAACGACGCACTTTTGTTTAAGATTTTGGGGATCTGCCGGGCGGTGGTGGCGCATGCCTTTAATCCCAGCACTCGGGAGGCAGAGCCAGGCGGATCTCTGTGAGTTCGAGGCCAGCCTGGGCTACCAAGTGAGTCCCAGGAAAGGCGCAAAGCTACACAGAGAAACCCTGTCTCGAAAAACCAAAAAAAAAAAAAAAAAAAAAAAAGATTTTGGGGATCTAATGCTGCCCAGTGTTTAAGGGGGCAGCTGAGTGGTCATCTTGGAGCAAGCCATGGGATGCAAGCCAGTAAGCAGCATTCTCCATGACCTCTACATCAGCTTCTGCCTCTGGGATCCAGTCCTGTTTGAGTTCCTGTCCTGACTTCCTTCAGTGATGAACAGCAATGCTGAAGTATAAGCCAAATAAACCTTTCCTCCCCATGTTATTTCATTGCAGCAATAGAAACCCTAAGACAGGAGGGAACCTCAATTGAGAAAATGCCTCCATAAGATCTGGCTGTAAGGCGTTTTCTTCATTAGTGATTGATGGGGGAGGGCCCAGCCCATTGTGGGTGGGGCCATCCCTGCACTGGGGGTTTTGGGTTCTATAAGAAAACAGGCCAAGCAAGTCATGGGGAATAAGCCCATAAGCAGTGCATAAGCAGACCTTCCATGGTCTCTGCAGCAGCTCCTGCCTCCCGCATCAGGTCCCTGCTTTGTTTGAGTTCCTGTCCTGACTTCCTTCAATGATGAACAGTGATGTGGAAGGGTAAACCTAATAAACCCTTTCCTCTGTAAGTTGCTTTGATCTTGATGTTTCATCACAGCAATAGAAACTGTAACTAAGACAGAAATCTCGAGTGGGGACTGCCCTTCTCCATACACATTCTCTAGACATCTAGAGGGGCAGGTCCAGCCTACGGCAGGGAGCAACTAGTGCAGACTAGTCTGTCCCAGGGAAGTGTGGGGCCTGATAGTGGAGCTTTGGTTCTTAGCCATGGATCAGCTCCCAGCATCTTCCAGTTTCCTCCCGTTTCTGCCCATGAGGCTTCTGCCTACAGGACCCTGGTCCCTGGTCCTCCACAGTTCCTCTTAAAGCCCCAACGTCTATGGAAGCACCTATCATTAAAAGGAGAGGTTTGCCATCTGAAATCTTGAGGAAGAGGCTTCATGAAATAACAGTCGGATTAACCCTAAGTTAATAGTTGTTTCCCTGGAGAAAGACTGAAACGTATCTCTTCTGGCCCCCGAAGTGTTCATTTAGGAAACATAAAGGTCCGTATTCTGAAAGGCCGTCCGATGGAAAATGTCCCCAGTGACTGTGAGAATGCTGAACTACTAGAAGAATGACATCATCCCTTACGTCTGAATTCTTTTGGTCAAGTTGAAAAGGAGTGAGGCTGGGAAAGCATGTGATGGCTGAGGTGAAAAAGAAGCATCTGGAAAAGGGGAGACTGGTAGTGAGGAATGAGCCACGAGAAAAGGGTCACAGAAAGGGCAGGTGGGAGAGTCAGTCAACAAAGAGTGCGTCTTTCATGGACTTGCTCCAGCCTCGGCGAGGAAAGCTGCCCAAGCATCCTGTTCACAAAGAGATCAACTAGATACTTTCGAGCTGGGATCAGAACTCTCCCACCTGGCAGGTGCGGCTGCTTCCTAGAGGAAGGTGGGTTGGTTGCACTGCCGGTTTTTAGGAGTGGCAGCATAACCCCACCATGGTTTCCCCCTGTTACAGGCAGGAAATCTCTGTTTAGATGTTTGAGGACAAAGCCCTTTCTTATTCAAAGATTAGGTACCCTACTCCTCCTAGTCCCACCCCTCAAATGGGGTGTGGTTCTGACTGAGGGTGTTGGCCATGCTAATTGTGTCCTGGGGGTTCCCTAGTTGTGTCCTGGGGGTTCCCTTGCTCTACAAGATTACATGAACTACCAGAGGATCACAGGCATCTCTGAGTCCTCCATTTTGATTTTCAGTCGTACTGACCTTAGGTAGAAGCTTTCAGATCCCAGTGGGGAGAGCTTTAAATCCTGGACCAGTCCCCACAAATGGTATGGGTATTCTTGGGTGAAGGGTGGCCATTGGTACCACGAAGTTCATTCCGTGGGATGGTCAAAGAATTGTATGTCCTGGAGAGAAAAGAAGGCCCACACAGGAAATGAAGGCAACAGGAAAGTAGAGAGACAGGTGGAAAGAGGAGGCAGAGGCAGTACTAGCTACAGAAGGAGGGACCTATAAAAAAAATGACAAAGTTTATAGAACAGTGTCTTAGTCACTGTTCTATTGCTGAGAAGGGACACCAAGGCAACTCTCATAAAAGAAAGCATTTAGTGGGAGTCTTGCTTACGGTTTCAGAGGCTTAGATCATTATCATCAAGGCAGGGAAGATAAAAGCAGGCAAGAGTTGGCTGGAGAAGTAGCTGAAAGCTACATCATGATCCATGAGCAGAGAGAGAGAGAGAGAGACAGAGAGAGAGAGAGAGAGAGAGAGAGAGAGAGAGAGAGAGACAGACAGACAGACAGACAGACAGACAGACTGGGCTTGGCATGGATTTTTGAAACCTCAGAGCCCACTTGCAGTGACACATTACCTCCAACAAGGCCATAACTCTGAATCCTTCTAATCCTTTCAAATAGTGCCATTCTCTGGTGAGTAAGAATTCAAATATATGAGACTATGGGAGCCATTCTTATTCAAACTACCACAGATAAACCGCTCTCATCAAGGGGGTGGGAGGGCCCAGAGGTGGGAGTACACACTGGGGCTCTGGGTCAGGCTTCTCTTCTCCCTTCTGGTTTTCCTTCCCTTCTCTCTCATTGGTTCCAATCACCAGCCATTAGTAATTTGTAAAGGTTGCAATGTCCTTTGGAGGGGGAAGGTGAAGCAACCAGGGAGGAGAGAGCAGAGAGAGGTGAGAGCCTCTTAAAGAGGCAGTCCCTGTTTTCCAGATTGGTCCAAGTTCCTTTGACTCTTCTAGAGCACCACCAGACGAGGCAACCTAGAATACTGCTCCGGGCTGTATCATTTCTTGCTCTGAAACTTTGCTGCCTGCAGAACTCAGTGCATCAGTTAAGAGCATCTATTCACCAGGCTCCACCTCACCTTACTAGTTTCTGGTTCACAGAAATGCTTCCATATATAGGTGAATTCACAGAGTCAGAAAAGCATAGAGGTTCCTAGGGATGGTAGGAGGAGACTGAGAAGTTAGTGCTCGATAGGTACAGAGTCCCTGGTGGTGGTGCTGCAGCAACTTGGAAATAGGAGTGATGGTCACACAACATGGCCATTGAAACCAGTAACAGAATCACACACTTGAAAAACGTTTAGCCAGGCATGGCAGTAGCTTCTCGGGAAGCTAGGTGTGTAACTTTAAGAAGACTAATGATATACCAAAGAGGGAATTCTAGCCAAGTCTAGGTTAGGGAGCTGATGAGTTCACTGAGGTTACAGGGATAGAACCTGTAGGGGTATAGGCGAGGCGTTACTTTCAGGACCATGGATGACTCAAAGGCAGCTGTGTCACCAAAAAGCCCACCCTAACATAGGTGACAACGTACAAAAGCTGCATGCTGGAGCCCTGCCTGAGCTGTAGGAAATTCAGCTGCTTGGAGACTCTATCTCCCAGTAGTTGTTAACTGTTCTTCTACAACCTTGGGGGAGGGGCCTGGGCACTCGGAAGTTTCAGGAGTGCGTCCAGACACTTCTTTACTTCCTAACTCCTCCAGGTTTCATTTACTCACTGAGGATTTTTGTTCTTTGACAGGGTTTCTCTGTGTAGCTCTGGCTGTCCTGGAACTCACTATGTAGACCAGACTGGCCTCAAACTCACAGAGATCTGCCAGCCTCTGCCTCCTGAGTGCTGGAATTGAAGGTATGCGCCACCACACCCCTGGCTACTTTGTCTTAAAGAGAGATGGTTTGATTTAGAGAAAATAGCCACACAACATTGAGACAGGAGGATTGTTTGAGTCTGGAATCTGGGAACATAGTGAGACCGTGTCTCTAAGGAG